TGTGGGCGTCTATGTAAATGGGACAGGTCATGTGGGCGTCTATGTAAATGGGACAGGTCACGTGGGCATCTATGTAAATGGGACAGGTTACGTGGGCACCTATGTAAATGGGACGGGTCGTGTGGGCGTCTATGTAAATGGGACGGATCGTGTGGGCATCTATGTAAATGGGACAGGTCACGTGGGCGTCTATGTAAATGGGACAGGTCACGTGGGCATCTATGTAAATGGGACAGGTCACGTGGGCGTCTATGTAAATGGGACAGGTCACGTGGGCGTCTATGTAAATGGGACAGGTCACGTGGGCATCTATGAAAATGGGACAGGTCACGTGGGCGTCTATGTAAATGGGACAGGTCACGTGGGCGTCTATGTAAATGGGACAGGTCACATTTGCACCTATAAAGATCAAATGACAAATATGTATGCACAGCACCCAATGTAGATATCTTGAAATCCAGATTGAAATCTCATCAATAAGCTTTCAAGTTTCATTTCAAGGTTTCTCTTATTATTAGTAAATTTGATATTATAGACAATTATATACAATGCCAGAATCAATTCTCACATTTGTAGATGGTTTACCTTGTAATGTCTTTCTCATACAATGCAATCTGGCAGTCATTTTCTTCATTCACATCAAGATATTCCACCAAACCCTGTCTTAAAAAATCTTCAAAACTACGAAAACCTTTTGTTAGCTCTTCAATGTGTTTATCTTGTACTTTGGGTTTGCTGTTCTTCACAATAATATAAGGTCTGAAAAATGACAGGAATTTATAATAAGCAGCCTCTCGGATGAGATAGATCCACTGTTAGCAATGCACAGTTCAATTAAAGAACTGAAGATATCATTAGACAAGACATGTCATAGCCCCCGCTCATGCAGACAAAATTTTAAAGCTTGTATTGAACTGGGTTTGTGTCAGAGTGAATTAATTCATTGTGAGCTGTACTAAAATTCCGTTATTAATTGTTCAGAATTGATGTGGAACAATTCCTGTACCAACTTTGAACAAAACTGGATAACACATATCTGAGAAAAAGCTGGTAACCGCTAGAAAAAGCTAGTTTTTTAAAGATTTTTGAAGAAAAAAATGGCCTCCAAGCTGTAAAAATGTATTCAATCGAACAAGTCATGAATGACACTGCCTTCACTTGTTGTCATTTGAAAGTTGCAACATATAATTTGTCCAGTTTTTGGCATGGACATAAATTGGCAAACATGATTTCTATGGCATTTTCAAGTTTATAGCACTCTCCATCCTGGTCTCAGGAAGAACACCAGAGAGCAACAAACAAGTACAACAGGTAAAATGACATGCAAGTATGCAAATCAGATCTACAAATATGTTGAAGAGGCAGTGTTGTGTCTGGACAAACTTCCTTGTACAACTGTATTCCTAATACAAGGACACTGTCAATCACAAAACTTTTCCAGCGAAAACTTCTGATATTTTTGACAGGACAATGATACTGTTTGTCATACAAGTACTAGCACCAGATGAGAAACTGAGAAACTGCAATGATCCTTGGTGTACATTGTACAGATCTACATGTAGTTTGTGGCCCTAAATAAGGACAAGAGTACTTCTCATATGACAATGATACAAATAAAGTGCAAGAATCCAGAAAAATATTATCAAGTTTTTATTATCATACATTATTATTACAAATCGTGTGAAATTGCTTTGGTTAACAGCACTTCTCAAAGAAAAAAAAAAGACAACCTGCAAAACTTTATACAATTGTCAGACATGCAGCGAATAGTATGCTTTTGTAATATATGCAGTTTCAGTGGCTTTGCATTTTAAGAAAAAAATTCTGGCTTTGCACCTGAAAAAAAAAAAAAAAAACATTTAGTCAAAAATAAACAGAGGTTTTAGCATATGTGCTTCCATTAGCTGTTAAATTTAATTAAAAAAGATATTTGTGTACAGTCTTTTCATTTTGAAAGCATATTACTTAATATATTTATACCAGCCAGAAAGAAAGAAATTGCAGTTTTCACTGAGCAATTAGGAATATACATGGACAACAATTGATGCATGTGTAGCAATATACTGTTTGAAAGGCTGCAAGATGTAATGAATAGCAAACCAATCACTACTCGAGTCGGACTGGCTGGGAAACTGCACAATACATACAAAAATGTATGCAAATGATATATGAGCAGCTCCACCAAATATAAAAATATTCTTTCCATAGTTATGACTCTAATGTAAATGTGATTTTCCACTCCTTAGCAATAGTAGTTAGAGTATTGTATTGTACTGTATTGTATTGTATTGTATTGTACTGTATTGTGATTTTCGATTTACGGTTATGTAAAACGAAATTACATTAACGGATGTAACAGATAACTTTTCCAATGAAATCCTTAGCACCCCGTTGGCAGGCCAGTCACACTGGTTCTCACTACAAGAGGTTACGATCCCCCCTGCCAAATGCTAAGAACAACTGAAACTAATATCTACATATTTACATGAAAATTGTCCACCTATGCGGATCTGTTTGTGCAGGAGTTTTACGACCGTATGCCCTTACTGATGTCAACCGA